CATTTCATCCCTCACTGAATTATTTTCCCAGCTAACTACTCTCTTAAATGATGCATAAGGATGTTCTAATGCTATTGAAATAAGCAGGGTGTTCAGTGCTGCTTTTCCTCAACTGTTGGTTTCTTTGGATTTCTAGGATGTGGAGAGCATCTTGTGCGCACCATACTGGCTAGAGAATGTTCACATGCTTTACAAGCTGAAGATGCTCACCAAGCCCTGTTGGAGACTATGCAAAACAAGTTTATCAGTAAGTATAATGTTAAGAAGATTACATTCTTCCAAATATAGGTTATTTCACTGCTATAAGCACTATGAGTTAGGTACTCCATTTGTATTTCTAGACCTACGTCTAGAACCTAGCAAAGAGAAAGACCCACAGTTAATACTGATTGTGAAAAGAAATTCCACAACAATAATACAGCATGAAATCTTTCCTATAACTAAGCTAATCCCCAAGTTGTAAGACACTGACAAGGCTCATGGTGATATATAGTAAAATAAATACATAACCATATGTTAATATGTTAATAATAATTGCCCAGTGGCAAAATATGAGCTGAGAAATGAGTCATGAATAGGCATTTAAGGTCTATCTCTAGTGATTTTTCAGAAAAAGGTTGATTATATTCGTGTACTGTCTCCTCAAATATATTAGAATCAGACTTAGGTTTTATTGTTATTTTGTTTTAACAATTACTGTTGTTGAATGCTGTTTTAAAAGAAAACCAAATTCTTCGGCTTAATAGCATATGCAATTTACATAATTGTTATGAGTTAGTAGATGCATTCTCAGAATGTTGATGAGAAGGAATAGTAAGAGTAGAAAACTAGATGCTCATCAGAAGTTCACTACCTAGAAAGATCTCTGTAACTAAAACTATAAAACACTGATGAAACGAAATTGAAGAGAACACCAAAAAATGGAAAAATACTTCATGTTTATGGATTGGAAGAATCAATATTGTTAAAATGTCCATACTACCAAAAGCAATCTAAAGATTCAGGGCAATTCCTATCAAAATACAAATGACGTTCTTCTGAAATAGAAAAAACAACCCTAAAATGTATGTGGACTCGGGCAAAAGACCCAGAATAGCCAAAGCTATCCTAAGCAAAAAGAACAAAATGGGAGGAATCACATTATATAACTTCAGATTATATTATAGTAACCAAAATGGCATGGGACTGGCATAAAAACACACATAGACCAATAGAACAGAGTATAGAACCCAGAAACAAATCCACACAGCTGCTGTGAACTCATGTTCCACAAAGGTGTCAAGAACATACACTCTGGAAAACTCTCTTCAACAAATGGCGCTGGGAAAACTGGATATCCATATGCAGAAGAATGAAACTAGACTCCTGTCTCTCACCATATACAAAAATCAAATCAAAACGGTCTAAAGACTTAAATCTAAGACCCCAAACTATGAATCTGCTACAAGAAAACATTGGGGAAAATCTCTAGGACATTGGTCTTGGCAAAATTTCTTGACTAATACCCTACAAGCGCAGGCAACCAAAGCAAAAATGGACAGAAGAGATTATATCAAGTTAAAAAGCTTCTCCATAGCAAAGGAAACATCAACAAAGTGAAGCAACAACCCACAGAATGGGAGAAGATATTTGCAAACTATCCACCTGACAAGGGATTAATAACCAGAATATATGAGGAGCTCAAACAACCCTATAGGAAAACATCTAATAATCTGATCAATAAATGGGCAAAAGATTTGAATAGACATTTCTCAAATGAAGACATAAAAATTGCAAACAGGCCTATGAAAAAGCGCTCAACATTATTGCTCATCAGAGAAATGCAAATCAAAACTAAATGAGATGTTAATTACAAACAGGCATATGAAAATGCTCAAATTATTGCTCATCAGAGAAATGCAAATCACAAGTACAATGAGATGTTATCTCACCCCAGTTAAAATGGCTTGTATCCAAAAGGCAGGCAATAACAAACTCTGGTGAAGATGCAGAGAAAAGAGAACCCTGGTACACTGTCGGTGGGTGTGTAAATTAGTACAACCACTATGGAGAACAGTTTGGAGGTTCCTCAAAAAACTGAAAATAGAGCTACCATGTGATCCAGCAATCCCACTGCTATGTATATCCCCAGAAGAAGGGAAGCAGTATATTGAAGAGATATTTGCCCTCCCATGTTTGTTGCAACAGTGTTCACAATAGCCAAAATTTGGAGGCAACCTAAGTGTCCAGCAGATGAATGAATAAAGAAAATGTGGCGCATATACACAATGGAGTACTACGCAGCCATAAAAAAGAATGAGATCTTGTCATTTGCAACAACATGGATGGAACTGGGGGAGATCATTATGTTAAGTGAAGTAATCCAGGCACAGAAGGACAAACATCACATGTTCTCACTTATTTGTAGGATCTAAAAATCAAAACAATTGAACTCATGGACATAGAAAGTAGAAGGATGGTTACTAGAGGCTGGGGAAGGTAGTGGAGAACTTGGTGGGAGGTGGGGATGCTTAACAGGTAAAAAAAAATAAAAAGAAAGAATGAAAAAGGAAAGAAAGAATGAATAAGACCTACTATTTGATAGCACAGCAGGGTGACTATAGCCAATAATAACTTAATTATACATTTAAAAATAACTAAAAGAGTGTAATTGGATCATCTGAAACACAAAGGACAAATGCTTGAGGGGGTGGATACCCTGTAGTCAATGGTGTGATTATTTCACATTGCATTCCTGTATCAAAACATCTCATGTACCTCATAAATATATATACCTACTATGTACCCACAAATATTAAAAATTAAAAAATAAAAACATTCAGTTCCTAGAAACCCTGTGATGGATGTATAATTATGGCACATGGTAACTTTATGGTTGTTGAGAATGATCCCAAGTACTTTACTGAGTCTAAAACTACAGATTAGCTAGTTCTACTTCTCCAAGTTTGGGTTTATGCTAAGGAGTTCCTGAACTCTGCTCTTTTCTGTTGCTTTGTATAACTCCATAAAACTGTTCATGGAGTTGACCTGCAGTATTTCATCTTGCCACTGGGATCCATTACCTAATACATATTGAGCCATATCTTAGAAATTCCAGACTCATGGAAAGGAGCAAGAAATGTCAGAGCTTACCTAATTGACCCTGTTCCTTTAATAGCTGAAACTTAGTTTGCAAGAGTTCAGTGACTTCCCAAAGTCATCTTGTTAGCCAGTGGGTGTTTGTTGTGCAAGAACACTTCCTTTTTATTTAAAAAATAAAACATGTAAAATGGTATGAAATACAGAAGAACAGTGTTCTGGGAGTCAAGACATTTGTTTCCACTCTCAACTTTGTGTTTGTCTCATTGGTTAAACAAGTTGCTTCAGCAGTTTTATTAAGAATAAAAGCAAAAATGTTAGATAAGAGGCAGTTTCTAAATGCTTTTGCCATGCTAAGCTCTATATTGTCTCTTCTGGATTCAGCACATAAATGTGAAATTCTTTTCAGGCAGATAATTTGGAAATGCGATTGAAAAAGGAAAATTTTCAGGAACTATTTAGGAAGCACAGATGATATTTACAAGGTGAATGGAAGGAAATAAATTGAATTTACCAGAGGACTAGACTAGAAGCAAGGAGGTTGAGTTTTGTTCTCTTTTTAACACACTGATGGTGTAATTAGTTGTCTATTTTAGGACAAATCTCTTTTTTCTTAATTTCCTCGTATGTAAAGGGAGGGGGCAGATACAGATGGTTCCTAAAATTCCTTCCAGCTCCCAAATTGTATTTGATCCTTGGTTTAGTTCACAAGCTAAACTAAACTACTTGTATGAAGAATAGTTGTAGGCTGGGTGCCATGGCCTGTAATCCTAGCACTTTGGGAGACTGAGACAGGCAGGTGGATCACATGAGGTCAAGGAGTTTGAGACCAGCCTGGCCAACATGGTGAAACGTTGTCTTTACTAAAAATACAAATATTAGCCAGGTGTGGTGGCCAGCACCTGTAATCCCAGCTACTTGGGAGGCTGAGGCAGGAGAATCTCTTGAACCTGGGAGGCGGAGATTGCAGTGAGCCAAGATCGTGCCACTGCACTTCAGGCTGGGCAACAGAGCAAAAACTATGTCTCAAAAAAAAAAAAAAAAAGAGTAGTTGTAAATCAAATTAGCCATTAAATGAAGTTGTAAATTAAAACTATTAATGATGGATCTCAAGTTTTTATTTGAAATGATTTGGTTGAAATCCTTTCAGCCAATGATGGAGGTAAGCTAGCAACCACTTTGTTAGTTTTGTGGAAACCATAATATTCTTCCCTTTTGCTTCCTTTGCTTTTTCTTTTTGAAAAAAGATTTGTATAAATAATATATCTAGGGATTCTCATTACAATGCATATGTAGAAAAATTGTATATGATAATTAAGTTCAATAACCCCTTTTCATTCATTCTGAGTCTCATTTCTCCTGCCAGAAAGAACCACTGCTAACAGATTGGTATGTATATTTATGGCTTTCCCTCACTCCTTTCCTGCCATCCTCCCTTTTCTTTTTGTCTTCCATCATTTTAAACAATTATATAGAAGAGATTTTTAATGTATTGTTTTGCAGTATGCTTTCCACTTAACATAGCTTAATGCTCTTAATATATAAGTATATATAGCTTCATAGTCAAATATTTCATGGTTCTGTAATTTATTCGTTCCTCTACTGAAAGAGATTTGTCTGTAATTTTTGTCTATATCATTTTACTGCATATGAATGCTTCTCTATATTTTAACTAAATTTTTTATATGATTTCATTTTCTCTCTCTTTTTTAGCATATCAGTTACGTATTTGTAGTGGTTGCTCTAGAGTTTGGAATATATATTTACAATTAACCTAAGTTCACTTTTTTTTGGTAAACATTTAAGGGGTACAAGTGCAGTTTTGCTACATGAATGTATTGTGTAGTGGTGAAGTCTTGGCTTTCAGTGTAACCGTCACCTGAATAATGTACATTGTACCCATTACATAATTTTTCATCCCTCATTGCTCCCCAACTCTCCCACCCTTTTGAGTCTCCAGTGTCTACTATTCCACACTCTATGTCCATGTGTACACATTATTTAGCTCCCACTTATAAGTGAGAACATTTGGTATTTGACTTCCTGTTTGTGAGTTATTTCAGTTAAGATAATGGCCTCTAGCTCCATCCATGTTGCTTCAGAAGACATGATTTCATTCTTTTTTATGGCTCAATAGTATTCCTGTGTGTATGTGTGTGTGTGTGTGTG